CGGTTCCGGGACGCCGACAACCGGATCGACCTCAAGTGCGGGCGAACGTCAGTACCTGGGACTTGGCTCACGGTCAGCCACATCTCGGGCGCCGGAGTCAACGCGCTCGCGTTAAAGGCCCGGATCACATCCAGCAGTTCGCCCAGCTCTCGGCCGCGATCGCCGAGAACCCCGATGAGGTGGGAACGACTTTACGGATGAGTTCCCGGTCGATCGCGGGAACTTCCACGTGAACGCCCGCTCCAAGCTCAGGGTAAATTTTTTGGAGTTCGTGAGGCAGGAGGCGCTCGCTCACCGGTCCCATGACGAGAACAATGCCGTTCGAGCTCGGAACAGCCCTCCTGCGGCCCGACAGGCAGTTCAGCAGTTGGGATCCTCGGCTACCTCTGCCATCACGAACATGCCTACCTCGGCTCAGCAGATGTTCGACCAGAGGGTGTCGACCGTGCACCCGCCGGCAGAGGGAGAGCTGATGGAGCCTGATCAGGCCGAGGCAGTCCTCGTGATTGCATGAGGGCGCGCTTTTCGCGTACGTCGTCTGCCGCGATCACTCCACAGGTCTTCACCGATGTGCTTTCGTGATCGCGAGGCGGCGGAGTACGAGCGGATCAGCACCGTGAGGGTGGAGGAGACTGGCCCAGAGATCTCAGCGGCAGCCTCCACTCCGACCTCCGCGCCGAAGGCGTTCGCCCCGGCCTAATTACCCACCAGCTCGATCCTCAGTGGGCGCCTACACGATGGACAGCTCAGGAGTGGAGTAGGTGGCGTTCACCGTCCAAGAGATATTTCGGTCGGCATTTTGTGCACGCTCCAGAAAGCGAGCTGTGCACCGCTCTGGCCGGTAACATGGGTAACATGGCCGGCAGATCAGCCGTGCTCTTCCGCGGAACAAACATGCCGAGCGCGATCCTCTCGGCGCGCTGGATCCCAGCGCAGTTCTGCGTGAAGTGTGATCATCCTGCCCTGACTCAGGCACGGCGCTCGGTTGTCATTAGCAGGCACGTGTGATCGCGCTGTGCAGCTGTTCAGGCCAAGCATGGATAGGTCTGTTAGGAAGATCCTCTCCCTTCCTCTGTTCGGGGATGAGTTTCCTCAATGGTTGGTGGATCTTCAGATGGCTCAGTTCGAGAAGCTCTCGGCTGTTTCGGACGGGACGATGGCTGAGTGTGTGCAAGCGTTCGTTTCGTTGAGCTTGTGCCTGCTCTCGAGGAATTCCTACACACGCCAGCTCGGCGCAAGAACGAGGAAGAGCTCGGCAGGTGGGTCCCATCGATCGAGCTGCTGTTTGTGCTGGTTCGTAGTGCTTCGGCAGCTGGATGGGCAGACCTGGCTGCCGATCTGGGGTTTGGTCTTGCCGAGGCTCCGATAGCTTTGGGACGATCGCCCCTGAAGTCGAGAAGAAGTGCTAACGAGCCACCCGTGCCTCTCCCCCTGGCTAAGAGGCGCAGAGCGATCGAGCCTAGGGCCTATAGAGCAGAAGATCAGCAAGTTTCTCTCAAAGCTCGCGAGCTCGGCGAAGCGCGGAAGTGGGGCATGCGGCTCAAGGCGATCGTCGAGAGATGCGGCGAGCACGCTGCGATCGCGGGCAATCCTAAACCCGGTTCGCCTTTGTCCCAAGACGAGATGAGTGCTCTGTGGGTGATCGTCTTCGAAAGCGGTGGCTTTCGCACGATCCAGCAGTGCGTTCGCCACTGGGAGCGGATGGAGACCTGGGCCCGATCGCAAAACATCCAGCCGATCCCGCTGACGACCGACGTGCTCGTCAACTTGCCGCTGCTCAAGCATGAGGGCATGAGGGTCCGGGTGGTCTGTAGTTCTACAGACGGCTTGCGGGGAGCCAAAAAACAACCAAGAACCCTTTGCAAAACCCCTTTACAACAAAAGAGGAGCGGACGGGCAAAAGACAGAGAAGATCCACGACTGCAAATTTCGAATTCAAAAGCTTGGGCTTGTGGGGCATATGCTGTCGGTAGAAAATTGCTTTGCAGGGTTTGATGTCCAATGGAAATATGTTTTGCTTTGCTTTTCTGCCACAACACCCTACAAGTCTACTTTTATGTCTGGGCATGTGACATGTGTTAGCAGGCGCAAAACAAGAAACCCCAAAGGTGGATGCCTGCACAAGTAGGGCGCGATCCAACAACAACCACAACAACAACAACAACACTTCGCCAGTGGTCCTATAGGTCCAGGAAAACAAATGTCAGGAAATGTTTTGTTGTGGGCCCAGGAAAACAATTGTCAGGAAATGCTTTCGCCGACGACAGCATGCTGACCTACTGTAGCTTCTGAAGCCAACAACAACAATGCTTAGCCAGTGGTCCTGGGTCCTTGAAAACAAACGTCAGGAAATGTTTTGTTTTAGACCCGGAAAACACATATCAGGAAGTGTCAACAAGAACAGCAACATTCTTAACTACTTTAATACGAATCTCGAAACTAACGCACCAAAGACTGCGAAGCAAGTTATTTTCAGGTTTAAAAGCCGTTGATGTGTCGATCTCCATGTATGCAGCTGGACTGGTAGATCATCCATCGAAGGGTCAGGGTGCACCCGCGGCGTCCAGGCCTCAGAACCGTCTGCGCGGCACTTCGCGAGCTTAGGGGATTAAAGGTACGGAGTCGCAGAAGGACTGTAAAGGGATATCCTAAATCCGACATTTTGAGCTACTAGTCTGTGTTCTAAATTTTTAAACCGCAGCAGGTTTTGGCTGGATTTCGGGGACAAGTTTGCTGAATAGTCTTTGGACTTCCGAATCAGGTCAGCACCACACTCCGAACCTCGCCAGGTCCCCGTGCATCCCTGAAGGCTAGCCCGGGAACAAGGAGATCGAGCTTTCAAGGCGTCCGCCTGTGCCGTGATGGCGCAGAAGCCTCAGATGTGCCGAGATGGCAACCAACCAAAAGCGCCGTGATGGCACCTGAGCAAAAGTGCCGTGATGGCAAAGACAGATCGCCGCGATGGCGAAAGAAAACTGCCGAGATGGCAGGCGCCGCCGTGATGGCGACAGAAGAAACGCCGAGATGGCAGGCCCAGCAAAGCACCGTGATGGTGAAAGAAAGTGCAGGGAGGGCACTAGGTGCCATGACGGCACCGAAACACCGTGATGGTGAAGCTATGGCGGGTCTATGGCCTAGGGCCAGGTTCAAAGGGCTGAGGGTTCATGCAGTGCAGTCATCAAGTGCGATGACAAATCACTCACGGGGCCCAGGCTTGAGGCTAGATCTTCGCCATGAGCCGTGGCCTCGGCAACACTGAAAATTTTCGGCTTAGCAGGGCTATCAGAACTAGCATGTCACTTACGGGTTTGCGGGGTTCACAGACTTGGACAGCTTCATGCTGCTCTTCTTTCTGGAGGGCAATGCCAGCTGTCAGCAGTTCGTTGAGGCCCCCTGACAGATCCGGCCGCTTTTGGCTGGGACCTGAGGACACAAGTAGACGAGTCGCTAATAGCGGCTTTGAGTCATGAAGCAACAATGATCCCGCCCGGATGATGGTCGAAGTCGCGCTGCTGCTTGCCTTTTTTTCCCGAGTGCCAACGATCACCAAGTTTGATCTTCGACTTGAGTCCTCGGGTCGGGTGTTGAGGATTCGGCAAGGCATGATCGCATAGGGCTGGGGACCGTGCTCTTCGAGGCAAGTGATGTAGGTCTCAAGAGAATGCCGTGAGCATCTGTCCTCGGATCGGGCGGGGTTTTAAAGATATGGGGTGAGGCATGAATTCATGAGGCAGTCACCAATCAGCAGTCAATTCAATCGCGGCTTCTACGCCTGGTCAAGACATAGCATTCGGTTCCGACGGAAAAAAGCACGAGCACTTTAGGCTGTCCTCCGTCTCCTCTTCCGATGTTTCTTCTGTCGGAACTTCTGTAGGGACCTGTGCCAGCATTTCTTTGCGGGAGCGAGACTATCAGTGTTGGGGCAAGACCTGTGGCGGACTCCCTGAAGGTGATGTCGGCTCGACTTCCTGCTCAGGCGCATGCAATGGTAATCCCGGCTGGATACTGAGATGCCCACCTTATCTTCGCTGATGCGCTCCTGCATGTTTGATTTGTGCCCCGTGACGGGGCCAGCGGGATGCTTTCTAGCTGCTGAGACCAATTCTAGCCGGAGCCTCCATCAGCTTGTGCATCTCCGACTGCAGCTCGGCATCGCCTGCCTGTCAGTGTGTTGCCATAATTGAGATCTAAACTCAGGCTGGGTGCACCTCAGCATCCTGTCGCTCTTGGCGGTCTTTTTCCACGGAGGCCTGATTAATCACGGCAACCCTTAGCTATCTGCCTGCTCGACAAAAGTCAACTGGAGCCTCCACGCTGTGGATCTGAAGCCGCAATCCAGCCGCGACATCCTGCCAGCACGCTGCTTTAGTCGTCTAGAACACCCGTGCTAGACACACTGAGAACCACCGACCATTATGGCCATGCAGGGCGAAGCCTCAGCCTCTTGAAGACGCCCCTTCATCTCTGTAGCGACTGCCTGCCAGCTGCTATGTCCAGCGGATGCCGATAGGACTGTGTTTATGGTCGAAGCCTCCATCTCCTGCAACTCCGAACGTGACTCCGTTGCTCCCGCCTGCCAGTGCGCCTCTGATTGTCTTCTATTTTCTGAGAACCACCACTCTATTGTGCAATGAGAGCACCGATTGCCGTGCAGGGCGAAGCCTCTGCGTCTTCGCGCTCCCGCAGAGATGTAGCCTGGAGCTCAGTGCAGATTGTCATGGCAGCCTGCCTATCTGGCAGAGCAGTTTAGGGTTCAGGGTCTCTGCCAGCCCCAGCCTCGATCTCTGTCATGCCTTGCTGCAGATCTGAAGCCTCTGCCTGCGAGTGAGCTGCAACTTCCGTTGATCAAATATGAGAATTCTCAAACTCACCACACTCTTCACACAGTGTAGTTACAAGAGGAAGCGCCGATTATCACGATTATCATGGCCATGCAGGGCGACGCCTCCACACGAAGCTGGCGCTCTAAGGCGGCCTGAAGGTCAACCCATCTCTCTAGTCTATGTATTTGCTAGCTCCTCCACTGACTCCGCCTTCAGCTCCTTGCGGAGTTGATCTTCGGCGTTTTTACGCCATGTCATTTCATCCGAAAGGGCACTGTTGAGTGCTCTTCGTTTGCCGTTGTCCTGATACGGGAAAAGAATCGCAGTGGAAAGTGCCAAGCCGTATGCCGCATGTCCCCGGCCTCTACGAGGACCTCGATCTCGGACTTCCACTTGTCCTTTGTGGGGCTTACAGCTATCTCCGCAGCGTATACGGCAGGATTGCACAAAGCCCTGCCTCCTGCGTCTTCTGCTGGGCTCCCGCTGTGGCCAGCTCGGTCTGCCATCTCCGCTCCGATTCCTGCAGGGCAGCACAGGGCTCTTACACTATTTTGTGGTCCCGCAAACCAGCGTAGGCAAGATCGCACGAGGCCCTGCCTCCTGCTGGGCTCTGGCTGTGGCCAGCTCAGTCTCCCATCTCCGCTCCGCTTCCTGCAGAGCACCAAGGCTCTTACACTACTTTTGTGGCTCCGCAGACTTGGCACACGCTGCCTCGGATGCCTCCACTTCTTGCTTGGCCATCGCTTCCGTCCGGGAGAGCATCCACGACCGCTCTCGAAAGGAAGCTGTCACCGAAGCTGCCTCCTCCTCACTTGTCTCGAGCTTGCTTCTCAGTTCCTGCCAGGATGAATTTGGCTGGCCAAAAAATTGTCGGGTGAGTCACTCCAGCCTCGAAGGTGCGGAACTGCTCCTCAAACGAAGCTACATCCTCGCTCGTCTCGAGCTTGCGAGTGAGTTCCTGGCACGAGGAATATTTGCGAACCCTACCGATAGCCCGTAAGTCATACCAGCATCGAGCCGCACTTTGTCGGTGTGATGACCCACGGTCTGGGCAACCATCATCTGCTGAGAGGTGCTTTGTGCCTGATGAGGGCACAAAGAGAACCATGAGTCACGACACCCGTCCCGGCCCGGCCTGCGAACTGGCTGTGCTCACACTTGCTAAGCTCAAGCTCAGAGCCGCGTTCTCTGCTCGACTCTGTTTGAGATCTTCTTCGAGCTTCTTTATGGTTTTCAGCAACGGGGCGCGGGCTTTTTCGCGGATCTCATCATTCTTGGAGCGGTAGCCGTCATTCCGGCTTTGCCCCTTCCATGTGCAGTCTTCGCCGCTCCATGTTCCGCCGCCGCTCCCCTCCTGCCAGTCCCACCAGGAGTCAGCCTGCCAGTCCCAGCAGGAGTCATCCTGCCCTTCGCTTCCAGTCAGCTCGCTGTTGCCGCGATCCCATCGCTTTCCATCCCACGATGCCATGTTTCAGCGGCCTTGTCAAAAAACTACAATACACCACTTCCTGTTCAAGTTCACATGGATGTAGCGGTCGGAGTTTACAACGTAGAGGACTTGAAGAACTGTCTTTACGGGCTGATGGTGCTGTCCGAGTTTTCGCACAAGCCCTAGTTTGTCCTGAAGGTCATTGTCTTTCCGATCTACTATGTACACTGTTCTTGAGGTGCGGATCTCCACTATGCTCTCTTTTAAATAGCATCGATCAGCTCTCTGAACTGTGACGTGTCATCAACACGACCATGTCATGGCACATAAGCCCTCGCAGCCAGTCACGCACACGTGTGTGGTTCGCTGAACAGCACACTGCAAGACATGAGTTGTTCTTCCGTGCAGAGGTTCCTGAGATTGTGGCCTCCTGGGCACTGTCCCCGTTGTGACTGCTACGAGGCCTGGCGACGGGTATTCGGGTATTACAGGTCGAGCTCGCAGACATAGGGCGGCATATCGCACCCGTTCTACCCCTATGAAAGCCCCTCCTGTGGAGAAAACAAATGCTCATGTGCATGTGGATAGTTGGCTGCAACGCATTCCACGGCTCGTGTGTCCTTCGGCAGGTTTTGGCCAATCGCGACTGACTCGCGCACCCAGGTTTGGGCCCTGGAGTTCGCCTTTTACCCGGGTGTCTTCACAGGTTGTAGCTCCCTTCGTTTGTACCTCCCTTCGTCCCTCTGTGCTAATCTTCGACTCCTTCCGCTGACTTTGACTCATCCGCTGACACTCAAGACACAGGTTTTGGCCCGGGAGTCCGCCTGTAACCCGGTGCACGATTGCATTTTTTTGCATGTTGGACATGCTGGTGCAGTGCAGCCGCTCGCAAATGTGGGAATCCTCGGACGGATCGAATTTTCCTTGAAGCCAAGACCGAGTCCTCTCAACATTGTTGTGTTTCTTGGTTCTAATCGCCATCAGAGTTCTCTGAAGGATTTGGTTATCCTGAAAACAAAACCGGCGCCCTTCACAAGACCGACTCGGATCCGATCGTCATTAACTATAATGTGTCAGGACTTTCAAGCTGAATAGCAACCCATATGATAAGGATGTGTTTAGCAAGTTCCATCCATACATTCTTTTGTCATAAGCACTCGGTCATAGATGCAGTGTCCACATCGGACGGACGACATCAAAAGAGAGGGCCACAGTGACGGCGTTTGACGTGACGAAAATACTGGTTCTGCTGCTGCTATTACTAGTAGTCTGGGCGGCCTTTAGCAGGGCATTCCCTCGCCAGCGCCGATCTTAGCACTGGGGCACTGCTTGGATGCGAAAGACATCTGCGACAACTCGCACTTCGTAGCACTGGACACCGCTGCGAGGCCAAACCAACGGCAACAAATCATACTTCTTAGCGCTGGGGCACCACTTGGAGACCAAAAAGCAGCAACAAATCGCACCCATGTACAAGTCCAACGGATTTAAAATCCGTCGGACTTGAATTTGACGAGGTTTGAAACCCCCAAGAAAACCTGCTGATGCACATGATGCTCGGCCCCTGCCCTCCCAGACACAAGTCCAACGGATTTGAAATCGACTTGAATTTGACGAGGTTTGAAACCCCAAAAAGACCCGCTGATGCACATGATGCTCGGCCCCTGCCCTCCCAGACACAAGTCCAAACGGATCAGCTACGAGTCTATCCGCAGCAGTACTAGCAAGCCTAAGAAGTCCGCCGAAGGTTCAAAGTGTTGGGCTCGGGGCCTCCACACCTCTCAGTGCCCGATCCAGAATCATGCCCTGCGGCGCAGGCTTCCTCGCGAGCCCTCCTGGCAGCAGGCTTGGGCACCTGGACAAGTTACGAAATTTCAAGCCAGTAGCGAGTTGCTCTTGAGACTTGAACAGGGCTTGGGAGGCTAAATCAAGATTGTATCGCAGACATGTCGTTGTCAGCATCACCGTCAAAAAAAACATGTCCCTGCTCCCTGCGTCATGTCCGCTGCCTTAAACCGCTCCCGTGCGAGCAGAGCAGTGTTGCAGGGCACATGACACGGCATATGTGCGCAAGTCTGCGGAGCTGCCTTTACTCTAAAACAGGAAATCACTATGGCATTAAGTTTATTTACGTGCTCGCATTGCGCTGTGGGGTCTTGATTTGCATTGCGCCGTGGAAGCTGCAATGTCGGGGCGGGCGAGTCTTCTGCAAGCCAAGCTCATGATACCGGGCACGGACATGACATTCGTGGAGTACAATGCTGACCAGGAGCTTTGTTATTGTTGGGGCTGCGCGCGCTGTGCACAGACTCCGAAGGAGGAAGCATCCAACATGGTGCGAGGCTGCGATCCAGCGCGAGTAGACAATCTGGCGCGGCATGCAAGCGCCAAGCAGCACCAAGCCGCCCTGCAACAGCTTGGTTTCCTGCCACAAGATGATGCTCCACCATTGGAGGCACCAGAAGTGGACAATTTCTGAAGGTGGTGAACCGAAAGCCTGCAGAATCGCTTCGTTCGGGCGTTGCGGGCGTTGGTGGGGCCAAGAAGGTCTTGAAGATGTTGCAATGCCTAGCGCAGGCGACGCTCCACATAGATTGCAGCACTTTGGCATCAGCTGAGAGCATCATGCTGCAAGTCGACATTCGTGACATGAAGCTCTGTGTACGCTTCCAAGCATGCACGGAGGATCTGAAGGTTCATCGCGGGGTGCTGGGTTTTGAAAGCGTCTGCTCCAACTCCCATGAGGAGGTGATGCGCAGCATACAGAAGGCGTTGACCCGCCTGTGTTCTTTGGAAGGCACATTGGATGCCGAAGGTCTGGAAGCGCTGCGAGACCGTGTGGATGTTCTGAACGGGGACGAAGCTTCAGACATGCAGCTGGCACTGACGGAGCTGCAGTCCTCGGGCTACTTTCGGAATCTGAGGTTCACTCTGAGAGACAAAGCACACTCTGCACGCCGAATCTTGTCCCGACCATGGTCACCGTCCACGATGTCTACCAGAATGCGATAGCCGGGAAGCACTCCATCACGAGTACCATTCAACACTCCGGAGTTGTGGCGCATAAATTTCAACAGCATTGCCAGGCCATGGAGAGCGCACCGAGCACGGCCAGACGGCTCAAAAACCTGTCTTTAGCAAAGCATCGATTCGACAGAGTTGAGAAACCGTTGTCCAGATTTTGTTTATATCTTGATGCCTTCCTCCTCACTGCGATCTCCGTCTCAGCTTCCCCGACGAGTCAGCTGCGAGGGCGCGGCCAAGGCTTCCTGGAATGGGTCACGGAAGAGAAGATCCTGCTCCTAGGGCTACTGGCTGACTTGTCCGACGAGTGCCTGATGTTCACTCGTGTGTACGATCATGAGCGCTATGAGGCTTCCTTGATGCACAGCTCGTGCCAGGCGTTTGTGTCGAAACTTCGATGGCTATATGTCAAGGAGCATGCCTGGGAGCTTGGCTACACAGCTCATGTGCTGGAGCAGCTGAAGCCCCCGTGCGGCTTCACGCTGAACGGCCGGGCCCGAACGATTGGGGGTCGCAGCCGGGTTACACCAGCCATCAAAGCGCGCTGCATGCAAGCGCTAGAAACGTTGGAAGCTGTGTTCCCTTCGTTCGAACTTTTGGCTTGCTTTCATATCTTGAATGTCGCTCCTAATGTGGATGTGCGGTCAGAATATCAGGAATTTTCCTCGGCCTTGGGGAGGCTGGCTCAAGTCTTGGAGCTTGGAGGAGGACGAGCTGGCCGAAGAAATCCGTGCACACGAGGCGATTGCTCGCCATGAGGCGTCTCAGGGGCGCAGCACGTTTGACGCCTGGAAGCAGGCCGTGCTGCGAACGTCCGCATGTCAGCGGGCCGTGCGTGAGCACTTCCCATGCGACAACCTCTGGAAGCTGCTGACACGCTATGACGCTATGGTGCATGGAGTGGTGCTTCCACTTCCGGCATTGAGCAGTTGTTCAGTCGGGTGTGTGACCACAGCTGATCGTGCGTGTTTGACTGGGGAAAACCTTTTCTACGCAGTGAAAGTGTTGGCAGATGTTACTAAGGCAAACCAGAAGGACATTTGTGAGCTTGAGCAAATGTGCTGGGCTTTGATCTCTGACGCGCCTCGCAAGTCAAGCACCTCCCGCATCGACAAGGGCGTGCCGCGGAAGCGGCAGTGCGGCACTGAAGTGGACTTCAAGAAGAAACGCCGCATGGCACTCACAGATGCAGCGGAGATGGTGCCGATTGCAACGACCCGTGAGGAGGTGACTCGGCTGACAGAGGAGCTCATCCAAGCCGACGAGCCCGTCTTGCAGGAGCTGGGGTTCCAGCACGCGAAGCAGTCCCGAAACCAGATTGTGGCATTCTTGGATGGGGCTCTCACAGAAGCAGACATACCGCAGGGCCTGGAGGATGTTGCTCAGGCGTTCTTGGAGCATCGCGACCACCTGAAGCATCAGCGGACCTTGTCGGCCCGCGCCTACTCCCGTGTCATGAGGCCTGACGCCCCAAGACTGGCAAGCCGGATAATTTTCTTGCAAAAGGACGACTGGGCAAACAAGGTTTGGGCGCGGAAATTGCAGTTGTGTGCGCGCTTGGAAGATGCCACAGCGATACTTTGGACAGTAGCGTTGCAAGGAGGCGTTGTTGTGGACTGTGTCTATATGCAGAGTCAGAGGGCAGCGAAGGAGCAGCGGACACATACAGCAGTGCCACTGAGACACGCCGCCGTGTTTTCATCGACGATGACTGGGCAGCAGGCAACGCAACTCTTGCAGAGATTGTACTGACAGCCATGTGGAGCAACCTAGATGCAACTGGAGGCTTTTGTCTGAGTCTAGCTGGGAAGACTTTGCAGACGCCAGCAGCAAAGGTGGGACTTATTCAAGCATTGCTTTGACTATTCCCGAGGTTGCCAACGGTTTGAACATTCCCAATGCATTCTCTGAAACGAATTTTGTGCAGTTCTTGACAAACAAGCGGGTGGCATGCAGTCACTTCGGCATGTGCGGCGTGTAGTGCGCTGGACTGGCTGCCACAAAGCCATGGATTATGGAACACCGGTCTCCAATGTCATGCAGTCCCCGGTGCTCTCACGAATTCTTTTAGGCCTTATCTGACAAGAAGAGAGGCTGCATGCAGAGAGTTTGGCATTTGCGCTGTGCTCATGCCTGAAATGTGCATGTGCGGAGCAAGCAAATTGGGGAAGCCGGGGCAAGAAAGAGTACAAAAGCGGTTGTTTCTGTGTCAGCGACTCATTAGACAAATGCTGCTGCATTGCCCATGTGTCGGTGTTCACTTGGCGAGGCGAGGTGAAATGATTTCTCGTGAAGGGCGGAGCGGGTTTAGGGTTTAGGCTGCTGCCTATTTCGGCTGGGGGGGGAGTGTGGCATCGGCCATTTGTGCCCCTTACGCAGACTAGCAAACGAGGGATTGGGACAAGGGCCTTCTGCAACGCTTTGGGTATGATTTGAATGTTGGGGGAGGGGGGGTCGATGACCATGTGGAATTTCATAGTCACTGACATCGCTCTGCCGAGGCCTGCGATTGACTTCCATATCGGGCAGGGCTCTGAGCGCGACTTCAAGCAAGTGTTGCACGCTGGGAGGGGGTGAGTGACCTGTATGTGCGGCCATTCGTGCCCCTTACGCAGACTATCGAGGGATTGAGACAAGGGCCTTCGTCGCTCTGTCTTGCGCCTGCTGGCATTGGTTGTTTCTGCATTGCTGCGACATGTGCTGGCGGTATTGCTGAATCTCCTCGACCTCTCGCCCTAGCCTTCCCGCGACTGTGGCGACGTTGTCACGACGGAGGGCTTTGGAGGCCAGCTTCCGAGTGAATGCTATTCCTGAGCTAAGATGTCTCCTGAGCTTGTTCCGTCGGATCGGATGGCAAAATCACGGACAGTGCAACGCCGTTGCAGACTGCTCGAATGCTGCGTCTTATTGAAGAAGGCTGAGGTAGGGCTCCACCTAGGTTGCAGTCTCCAGTGGTCCAGATAGCCATGGTCAAGACGACAGCCAAATCGAAGGCTGCAGCCAAGAGCTGCGCTGCGCCCAGCGCCCCGAAAATCAGATCTCGCCAAGAGATGGATGCTCGAGCGGCATTGGCGCGCACTGAGCGGCGCGAGCAGTACAAGGTGCCATTGGCGCACAGCTGGCTGCTGCAGATCTCGCTTTCAGATGCTGACGTCAGGGCGGCGAGTTGTCGGCTGGATGTTCAAGAGATGCATGGTCTCAGCCATCTCCAAGCGCAGGTGGCAGGCCTTGGTCATACTCCAGATCAGTGTCACTGGCGGCTCTCAGCACTCCCGGCTGCGGTGGATCGTGTTCCAACTGATTTGCTCTACGAGCGGCTTTGCGAGCTGGGCAGCTTGGAGATGCAGGTTCGAGATCAGATGTGCCGTATCGCCGATGTGCTCCTGGAACAAGGCTTCCTGACGATCACCGGCACCTCCGTCGACGAAGACGACGAGCAACTCTGATCTTGTGAGGATCCCGCGCTTAGCTATAGGTGGTTGTTGCAGTGGGCCAGCTGTTGCAGGCAAGTTGTGGTTTCAGAGTCTCGTTCGAGAGATTTATGCTTGAAGCTGTGATTGAAGTTCGTCTGCAGTGGCTGGTGATCGTAGGCGCAGCTCTTGAAGAGCCATTGGGGGAAGCACACGCTGCTGCCGCATCCAGTTTGAAAACGGCCGAGATCCCAGGATCACGCCCTGCAGTGCCCAAAGCGCTCAGGCTTCGCCTCCTTCCGTGCGGTAGCCCAGCAGTCCAGGGCGGAGCTGTTCCGATCTCTTTCCCTGTTTGTTCGGAGCTGGGGATTTGAAGTGCACTGTGGCCCGAGCGTGTTTGAGAAGCCGCTCCTTTCGAGACCCTTCGCCGGCATGGCTCCGAAGAAGGGTAAAACAGTTGGCGGCGACACCGTGACAGCCATCGAGAAGGCGCCGGAGAACCCCAACGCGGAAATCCAAGCTAAGGTCGAGGCCGCTATGCAGGCCATCATGGGCCACCACGTCTTCGCCAAGGCTGGATCCTCGTGTCCTCGTGTGTTGCGCACTTCTCGTGAAAGGGGGATGTTCGTAGCAGATGGGTGGTTGCAAGCACCCTTCTCCGGTATACGGAGGGTCGACCCTGCTTGTATGGAGGAGAGGGTCTGGGCCGGATGGGCTTTGTGTGGGATGCAGCCCAGAGCATCCGATATTGAATTTTTTGAAAAAATCAATAGGGTTTTGAAATTTATGTAAAATCAAGCGTTTCGGGATTTTTTCAATAGAGAACTTTTGCATGAAATTCAATAGAAGAGTAGAGTCAAAATCAATCGAGGATATCACAAAACCGATCCCATAAAATCAATCGAGAGAGCATGCATAAAATCAATAGAGAATGCACAGTAAAATCAATAGAGAATCCAGAGTAAAATCAATAGGAAATCCAGAGTAAAATCAATAGAAAATCCACAGTAAAATCAATAGAAAATCCAGATATAGTTGCAGGGGCTGTCCAACCCTTTTGGTCTGGGCTTTCCAACCCATATGCAGCCAATTCCTGGCATGCAGTTGTGAAACGAATCATTTCGTATGACATGCAAATACACACACATGCATACATACATACATATATATATATATACATGTATATATATATATATATCTTTAATTCCTGGGCCGGGCTTCCCAACCCATACACACGTAACAGCACTAAACTTCCAGATCCTTGCATGCGCTTTTTAATCCCCTCAAGGCGATCACCATCGATCTGTTAATTAGTCCATCGTGTCTATGACAGCTGTCTATGACTTTAAAACACGACGGATCCACATAAGCTCCAGCTGCCTGCTCCGAACGGCAGGTTCTGATTGCAGCTCCTCAAGCTCCAGCTCCAAGCGGTACCCCCGGCATTCAACGTGGTCCAGAAGGGTCTCCTCCTCACACTGCTCCATGAAACCCCGACACCAGATGGTCAACAGCTGCTTGGCCAAGCGGGTTGGTGCTCCACTGGCCCGAAGTTTTTGCAGAATGATTTCATCTTCCATGATGGGCGAGCTTGAGCAAAAATAGCTAGCACATAAAAACACCATAAAGGTTTGCGTGGCTAACTGGGCTTTCCAACCCATGCAATGACCATGAGTGCTTTGCCCTCGTGGCCCTATCTGTCGTCCTGCTGGGCTTCCCAACCCCCTTGGGCATTTGCTCCTTTTTTTCGAGCTTTCCCAGTTCGAGCTCTCCAAAGACAGTCCTAGACCTCGACCTCCAAAGACACTTTGAGCCTCCTGAGTTTTTCTGGCCCCTTGTCCTGCTTGTCCAGCTGCTTGGCCAAGCGGGTTGGTGAACTCAATCGGACTCTCCCCTGGCAGACGAATGCTGTGCTTGCACAGCAGACACAGCACGGTCCACCTGCTGACGAAGCTGATTCAGGGCCTCGTGAAGTTCCTGCCTGAAAGCAGCAAAGTCCTCCTCACTAAAGGGGCCGTTGGCAAACTCAAAAACCGCAAAACGATTCTCGAGGTTTTCGACCTCGCCAGACACGTGCCGCAAAAAATTCAGCACAGCCTGGTTCGTGATCTCCACTGCAGATAGTCGCTGCTCCAAAACAGAACAACGAGCGTCAATGACAGTTTGAAAGAAAGATTCCAGAGCAGCAAAGCGAGCAGACAATTCTTCCTCTGAATCCATGCAGCTCCGCTGGCTCAAAAGTCCTAGCTCGAACTTAAAGCACATGTAGGAAAATGCAATGCAAAACTAAGCAGAATGATTTCATCTTCCATGATGGGCGTGCTTGAGCAAAAATAGCTAGCACATAAAAACACCATAAAGGTTTGCGTGGCTAACTGGGCTTTCCAACCCATGCAATGACCATGAGTGCTTTGCCCTCGTGGCCCTATCTGCGTCCTGCTGGGCTTCCCAACCCATGTTTCCAACCCCTTGGGCATTTGCTTCTTTTTTTCGAGCTTCCCCAGTTCGAGCTCTCCAAAGACAGTCCTAGACCTCGAACTCCAAAGACACTTTGAGCCTCCTGATCTTTTCTGGCCCCTTGTCCTGCTTGTCCTCTTCCTTGAAGGCTTCTTTCACAGGCTCCGGCTCAAGCTCTTCTGGCAACGGTTTCTCATCATCCTTCTGCGGGATTTCTGGCAGCGCAGCTCCCGGAACTCCTGGAAGTACCAGTGTCGTGGCTTGGCTCAGGTTCGGCTCCTCTTCATCAGCATCTGGGTCCTTCTTCTTCGAAAGGTAGGCTTCTCTCGCATCCATCTGCTCCTCGATGCGGCCAAAAATTGCACTAAAAACGTTTATTGATATCCTTATTTGCCTAAGTAGTGTATTCATTGCATGATTTCACCCGCGAGAAGAAACACGTCCACCTTGGGGAACTTCTCCTGGCTTTGGGCCGGCTTCTTCAGTGCAGGCTTTCGCTTCACCTTCTGGTCCTGGCAGTGGCGCAAAAAAACGATGTAATCTACATAAAAGTTTGCTACCCCGCCTTTGTGGCGGGCTTCTTCTGAACGGCCATTGCTTGCACTAGCTACTTAAGCCTTGGGTTCCACAGCTCGAACTGCCAAAAAAGACATCTTCATGTTCATGCAGCTACCGGGCTCTCCAACCCGGGCCTATATCATTCCACAGACATGAACGGTGCTGTAGGGCTATCCAACCCATGCATAACATTTTGCCTTCGATCAGTCATCCAAGTCCAAGTCCACAACCCTCCTGAGCAAAAGATCCCACAGGAACCTATACTTGGCCATCATGGCAGCGGGAAGCTTGACGGCGGCGGTGCTATGCACACGGCTGCCGGCCAAA